GTGTCCTGACTCATCCCCCATCTGTCTACCTGGGTGTGCCTTTCACAAGCTTCTGCACACTTCAGTAAGCACGTCGAGGGGTTTTTCTCTTCCTTTTATGTGTGCTCCTGTGTGAATTCTCCTTCTGATGTCGTCTGTCTTCTCCTTCAACTGTCACCTAAAACTAGGGCCTGAGCCCTCCATTTCTTCTCCAACGCGATCATGGTGTCTGGGCCGATTTCCCTCACTTACGAAGAGATTTATTCTTCAAAAGTCATCTCCAGAAGATGAGACACCGTACGTCAAAATTAATGCAAAAAAAACAAACGACGACAACAACAACAACCAGAGCTTCTCAATTTTCTAATTTAAAAAAAATCTGGCCTTGATCGTTTGAATAAAGCCCACTGCAAGTTTTCACGGGCGGGACTGTGGGGATGAGAATGAAATACATGCTTTTTAACTGTATCTTCCTTTCACCCCTACGTGTCTTACTGTGCATGTGTTCACACACGCATCAAACCAACAGAGTTGAACACTAAACTCTGTCTTTCTTCAGAGAGAAGTGGCTGGCCCTGGCGAATGCTATAGAACCTGTTTTACTCTCCAGAGAAGTAGCCAAACCATTGCAAACATGTGTTGGGTAAAAACAAGTTTGGTTGGCTCCAGACAAAGGCTTATTTTTTAAGCACAGATGGTTGAATGGTTGCCTCCTCCAACGGGTTTGCCCACAATGAAAGACAGATTTCTATTTCTAATCTATGCAAATATCTTACTCTGTGGGCATCACAAAGACTAACTGTTTTGTGTCCGACGGGGCAGATCCCAGGTGCTCTCAGATGCCATGGCCCATCTCCCACCTGAGATGCCTGGTGACTGGATAACAGCGGATGGCTGGAGCGTTAGTCACTAACCCTCCTCCTGCGGTGAGACATTCCTCTGGAATCCCGCCCCGGCACCACCGCTTCTACACGGCTGCTCGGCCTGGAAGACGGTTTCAACATCCAGATGGGACCCCGGATGCTTCTAAAACCTCCCAAGACTGCTCAGACTCCCCTCCCCTGCCACATAAAGGCTCCTAATGACCTGAGTAGCATGCTTCACCCTGAATTTAGCTCATCTATTTGTCTCGAACATCAAACCCAGAAACCTTGAGCATATAAAAATGTGATTCTACCCAAACCAAGTCTCCTTTATACTCTTTTTTTGTTTGTTTTTTTAATCCTCGCGCCAGGATATTTTTTGCATTTATCTTCAGATAGAGCGGGAGGGAGAGAGGGGGGAAAAGACAGAGAAATATCAATGTGAGAGAGACACATCGACTGACTGCCTCCCACACGACCGCAACTGAGGTATGTGCCCTTGGCGGGGATCAAAGCCAGGACTCCTTGGTCCACGGGCCAATGCTCTAACCACTGAGCCAAACCGGCCAGGGCTCCTTTATACTCTAGTCGATGTGCCTACCACCCACGGTAGGTTTCCCTGAATCACACCTGAGTCATTGTTGGTGGCCCTCAACTTCCTAAGTGTATGTTAGTCCTTTCTCTTTCCTTTCTCCCTCTAAAAATTTTCCTTTCTTTACTTAACAATATTTTCCCCTCTTATTCCTCCATCTCTCCAGGTTAAGTCTTTAATTTGCTCTGACACCCCTTGGGGCATTCTAGTTTTAAGGCCCCTCGGGGCAAGAAAAAGTCCTACAATGCTGAAAACACACACACACACACACACACACACTCTGTCTCTCTCTCTCTCTCTCTTTCTCTCTCCCCCTCATGCAAATCCAGCTCCTAACTTTAAACATCCTTCGCCATAAAAAGGTTATACCTGAAGTCCACATAGTTTAGTTGCAATGTTTAAGCATAAAAAAATGTCCTTCCAAGTTTTACATTATTTTCTTTGTTGGTTTTTCTGAGCAAATGACAGTGACAGAGTTCACTTCAGAATCCTGGGTTGGAGAACACTCTCCCTCTTCATCCAACTTCATCTTAAATGGACCAAGCTACCTGAGCAAAAAGTCTAACGGAAAAGGAAGGAAGGGCTTCCCAATCTCCAGCCTCAATAACCACCACCACCAAAAATTCTTCCTCTTTACCTCAAATGCTCTTTGCTTTGTTTCAGCTTATGAATGCACATATTGCCAGTCAAAGAACGCAGCGCTACTGTACTTGCCTGGGAAATCTAGAACTGTGGACAGCTCTAGAGGTTAACAGATGTACTGATTCCCAAATATGGATGAACTTCAGAAGCACCTCAGGAATATTACTTATTCTAAACACTACATCTTCCTGATCCCCAGCCTTAGACATTCCAATTCAGACTTCCAGTACAGCCCCGGAGTCCATGCTGATAACAAATACTCCAGTTCATCATGATGGGGCAGGTCCTGTCTGTGGACGCAGCTGATCGCCTGCAGCACCCTACCCCCCACGACGGTCTCCTGCAGGACACCACACGGGGGCTCCTGCCCTTTCATGTGCGTGCCTGGTCCACTTTTACATGGGCTTAATGATTAGAAACTATGTTCTTACATTGAGCCAAGTAACCGGAGTCTTTCAATCCTTCCTTCCTTCCTTCCTTCCTTCCTTCCTTCCTTCCTCTCTCTCTCTCTCTCTCTCTTTCTTTCTTTTATTTTTTTTTTTATCCTCACCCGAGGACATTTTTCCATTTTTTGTACAGATAGAGTGGGAGAGAGAGAGGAAGGGAGAGAGAGAGAGAAACATCGACGTGAAGGGACACATCGAGTGGCTGCCACCCGCACGACCAACCAGGGCTGGGGACAAACTGCAACCGAGGTACATGCCCTTAGCGGGAACCGAACCCGGGTCTCTCCGGACCGCAGGCCGATGCTCTAACCACTGAGCAAAACTGGCCAGGGCATTTTTTATTTATTTATTTTTTTTATCTTTCAATTCTTTGATCTTCACTATCAGCCCGAATTGTGTGTCCCAGAGCAGACACAGAACTCCTTCCCCAAAGTCTTCCATTTTCCTCAGGTGGTCATTTCTCCAAGTTTAAACAACCTGATTCCTTGAACTTCATAAAACACAATTTCTGAGTCCCTCACCATTACGACCGCTCTTCCTCCACCACAGACCTCACAGAATAAGTCTGTCTAAAGTAACAGACACCTGCCCTGGCCGGTTGGGCTCAGCGGTTAGAGCGTCGGCCCGAGGACCAGAGTCGCGGGTCTGATTCCCAGTCAAGGGCATGGACATTGTTACTCACTTCCTCGCAGTTAACGGTCCGAGAGCCACAGACAGCAAGTACTCATGCACCTAACGTGGTGTTCCTAACCGTGGGAAGTACTCGGTGAGCACGGAAAAGCCAACGGAAATTGTCCAGTTTTGAGGTGTAAATAATTTCTGGTACAGAAAAGACTTAGGTAAGTGAAATAACATGAAGACAGTGGGTGACAGTATACAACCAAGTGCTTCCAATGAGTGACACCTGAAAGACAGCCAGGTTTCCTGGGTCAGACTGTTCTCCATCTCATGGCCTCTGTTTACAGAAATGTCACCTATTTAACAATAGTGTTTGATTAAAAAAAAAAAACAAAGAAGCCCTGGCCAGTCTGGCTTAGAAGGTGGCTGACCAATGAGTCATGGGTTCAATTCCAGTCAAGGGCACGTACCTCGGCTGTGGTTTGTCCCCGGCTCTGGTCGGGGTCGTGTGGGAGGGACCCACTCCATGTGCCCCTCTCACATCGATGTTTCTCTCTCACTCCCTCCCTCCCACTCTATCTGTAGATAAAGGGAAACATGCCCTCAGGTGAGAATAAAAAAAACAACCCAACAACAAAGAAGATGGAAGCTATTACCTCAGAAAGGTATATAAGAATTTCAAGCCCATCCTTATTTCAGAAATTTGAAATCTAAGAAACTGCACACGCACTAGTCCAGTCGCACACTGCTCCTCTGTCTCAGCAAGCCACTGGCCTGCTTCGAAAGCACACGGAAAGCCAGGACCCAGGGGAGAGCTGGAACTGAAGAGTTCATGCCATTCCCTTTATTACCGAAAATAACCATGTCATGAGGAGCCACACCGCCCCCCAGGACATCTTCGTGGAAAACTCTTACAACAGTGAACCAGACTAACACCAACAAAAATGCATTTGTTTCATTCATAGGATCTCACATTGTCAGAACCTGAGGAACGTATCGAAACCCCTCTCTTTACAGATGAGGGGGAATATCATTTCCAGGACGTATTCTCTCCAAGGTTAAGCAGCCAATGAGCAGGAGGATGGGAACAACCCAGGCTAGGTCACCCTCCACCACTGGCTGCCTGTCTCCTCTTATTTAACCTCAGACCATCAAAACTCTCGCCCGCTCAACGTATTCCTCAACTCGACTCCCATCCGCAGTCCCCTTCAGAATCCTCAAATCCGAAGTCTGCAAGTACCTTTTGTTTGGGGGCCTTCTGAGGGAAGCCGTGGGCTGGATAGGAAATACATGGTTCACTTTTGTTATTCAATTCTTGCTTATTTTACCGCCGTCTCCACCTAATACTTCCATGCTGCTAGGCACGAAGTCCAGAGGCCACTCTGCCTTCTGAGCATTGGAGGGAATCCTGAGTCAGCTACAAATAAAAGCTCTAAAGCTGAAAAGCAACCAGGAAAGAATCCCCATCCACCTTGGCCGGTTTGGCTCCGCGGTTAGAGCATCAGCCTGCGGACCAGAGTCCCAGGTTTGGTTCCCGCTAAGGGTACGTGCCTCACTTGCAATTTATCCCCAGCTCCAGTTGGGGTCGTGTGGGTGGCAGCCACTCAATGTGTCTGTCACATCAATGTTTCTCTCTCTCTCTCTCTCTCTCTCTCTCTCTCTCTTCCTCCCTCTCAATCTGAAGATAAGTGCAAGAAATGTCCTCAGGTGAGGATAAAAAAACAAAATAAAAAAGAATTCCCATCCACTGCACCCTCTCCCCCACCACACACCCCCCCGAGGCAGCCAGCTCATCTGCTCCACGGCGGTCTCACGGTCCACCCGCACCCCTTCCATGGAATGCGGGAAAAAAGCTCCTACCTCGTGGCCTCTTGCCGCAGCCATGACACATTTGGCACGTAGAACATGACTCCGAAGAAAAGCAGCGGCTCATTAGCGAACTTGTCCAGATGTTTCTTCAGAGGTTTCTCCAGCTCCACCCATCGCGCTTGCTGGCTCTTGCTGAGAAACCAGAGGCCAAAGTAGTGCGTCTAGATAAAAGGGCAAAACAACATCAGTCTGAGCTGCGAGGGCCTTCCGGAGACCACACAGGGAACGGCTCCTGGGCCTCGCGTCCCCCTCGGCTCCCCAGCCCATACACAAGCATTCGGCTTTCCTTTCTAACTCGGGGGGGAATTAAAGAGAACCCACGTGTACACAACACTGTGATCGACACTGAGTACCCAGAGGCAGCATCCACACCCACCGCTACTGTTTGTCTAGGAGGTACCGCTGCACCCCTGTCAGGTCAAGGGGGCGGTGCAGGGTGGGGACCGCCCCGTCTTCTCTCCTCAGATCTCCAGGCTGACTTCCCTGTGGCTTCTGTGCCTCGTGACCTCACGTGGAGCATGCTGGCAAAGGCAAACCCCGTTCCTGCACCTCCTGCCAAGTAACTGATCACTTAGGACACAAAACCTTCTGCCCACTGAAAGCTTCCAGTGTGGACCTTTTTCATCCAGTACCAGATGTTAACTGAAAACGGGTCCACTCCCTTTGAGCTTCAACAGAGTCCTTTACAAACCATCGCCTGGACCACTTCATGACACGTGAGCTGCAGCAAATCTCTCCCCCGTGCCGAGTGTTCAGAGCGGAAGGGTCTCCGCGCAGCAGCCAAGGGGCCCAGCAGCCACGGGGGCCCCTGTTCTCGGCCGACTGTGGTGGGCTCTCACAGGCCAACGTGACAATGTCACCGGCAGGCTTGAAGCCTCACCCAGTTCAGTCCCGAACGACGTGCTAAGTGATGACAACAGGTGCTTTTAGGCATCCAATGCTGTCTTCAGACGCATCGACGCTCGGATGTCAGGATCAGCACAACAATCTCCAGAACCGAGATCACTGCTTTGGGAGCATTCTTTTCTATTGCAATCACAGCCTAGAATGCCTCACAGCACACCTGGACACCTGCCTTCAGAAGAATGTTTTCATGGCTGTGTGTCATTTCGGAAGGCATTCCTGTGCAGATGTCCCCCCGCCGCCAGCGGGCTCCCCCTCCCCGCTGCCGTGGGTCCACCCTGCCACAGCACTGCCCAGCCTGTCGCAAAGTTCGGACTCACTCGACTAGAAAACCAGGCATGGCCTCGCCTCCATGCAGCTACAGACCCAAGTGCTCTACGGGATATTTTCATACGATACATTCCGATGGGAGCAGTGATCTGACCGGCTTTCCTCCATGATGTTCCAAAGGGCAAGTTCGCACCAGAAGCCGATGCATTTCTTGAGCCACGAGATGCCAACAAACGGAGCCCAGGTTCTATTTCTATGAACTCAGACAAACTGGCTTGAGTGAATTCTGACCCTCCTGTTCCTTTCCCAGCTTCGGCGCGCCCATGAGCTGCTCAGCGAGATGGAGGGTGCAGACAAGGCAAATGCGGCCACGTCCGAAGAACACAGGCTGAGGCCAGCTCCTCTCCCAGCTCCTGAGCCACCCGAACCTCATGGGTGCTTCCTCACCGGTAAAATGGGGATGCTGATCACGACTATCACCCGCAGGATCCCAGGGGTGTAAATGAGGTGATGCCATTCGACTGGGCATTGGGGGGGCGCACATGTTAAGTAACCACTTTGGGAACGGAGCCTCATTCTGTGCTGCTGATGCTACTGTTACCATCATCCTTGTCGGGCTAAAAGCAGACAAGCTTCAAGAAGGCTGCTCGTCAGCACTACTGCACCCCTGTGAACCACAGGGTTAGAAAACAGAGGTTGCCTGGAGCTAAATGAGAAAAGGCAAGCCAGCCCGGTTGAGGGTCGACCCATGCACCAAGAGGACGCTGGTTCGATTCCTGGTCATAGGTTGTGAGTCAAATCCCCAGGGGGACATGCAGGAGGAGATCAATCCATGTTCTCACTCACTGATGTTTCCATCTCCCTCTCTTTCTCTCTAAAATAAAAAAAGAAAGGAAAAAAAAGAAAAGGCAAGCCAAAGTAGAAGCTGGAAAGCCCATTGATAACACAAAAATCTAAAAGATATAAGAAAAAATAAACAGCCCTGGCCAGTTTGGCTCAGCGGTTCGAGCGTCGGCCTGCGGTCCAGAGAGACCCGGGTTCGGTTCCCGCTAAGGTTGCTGTTTGTCCCCGGCTCTGGTTGGGTCGTGTGGGTGGCGACCACTCGATGTGTCCCTTTCACATCCATGTTTCTCTCTCTCTCTCCCCCTCCCACTCTATCCGAACAAAATATCAAAAAATGTCCTCGGGTGAGGATAAAAAAAAAAAGAAAAAAGAAAGTCACGAAGCAGTGCCTCCCCAAGATTTTCTTGGGTCTCATTACAGGTGTGGGTGGGACACTGGGACATCACTCTGATGCTGCCCGAGGGGACCTACGACACAGGCTTAGGCGAATCTTCAAATGAGGAAACCCGGGAACTTAATAAACGGGGACAGGGGCCGAGGCGGTTCTGCACTCTACCGAATCCCTCCGAGGGGCACAGTGCCGCAGAGGGTATTTTGGACGGCCAGCATGCGTTTGCGTATAATAAATGAGGTAACGTATGTAAACAGTAATGTGCTATGTAATAATTATTTTAGTTGGAAAAGAGCCCTTTTATAAGCATGGGTGGAGAAAGGGAGGGCAAACTTTACAGTTACTTAACAGGCCAACCATGATTTAGTATCTTTCACTAAAAGTAGTCTGGACATTTGGGGGTATAATTTTATAGGCCTTACTTCATTCAAATTATAACATTCACTCAAATTAGTAACGTTCAAATTATAAAGGGCCCACGGTAACTGCATAAACACTCTACGGTTGATTTTTCAAAAGAAAATTAAAAAAAAAATTTTTTTTTTACTCTCCTGTGTTTTAAAGGCTAGTATTTTTTAAAAGTGTTTTTATTGATTTTTTTTATTTTTTTGGAGAGAGAGAGAAACATTAATGTGAAAATGAAACATCTATTGGCTGCCTCCTGCACGCCCCCTACTGGGAATCAAGCCTGCAACCCAGGCATGTGCCCTGACGAGGAATCGAACCTGAACCTCTCAGTCCCTGAGACAACACTCAATCCACTGAGCCACACCAGCTGGGCAAATACTAGTATTTTAAATTTCCTTTTCTCACTCCCACCCACCTAATCATTAAACCAGACCTGATCTTTGCCCCCTCAAAAAACCTGAGAAAGAATATTCCATAGAGTACATATACACCCCATGCACATGCAAAGATAAATGCACCCACAGATGTATACACTGAAAGGGGGGTGATGAGGTAGGTGCAAGAGAAATCACGGTAAGGTCAGACTTGAGCCATCATTGATAGTACAGAGCTCTAAATACAAGGCAAACCACTTCTAATGCAAAAAAAGCCTAATTCACGGCATAAGATTTCTTTTGTTGTTGCAACACAGCCTTTTCATAGGACACGGGATCTTTCAGGGTGACCTGTTATGCATTTATCCAATAAAAAAATTACAGAACTACTCAAAATATGGGGTTTCCAATGCAGGGTGGAATTGGAGGAGACGGGTAACCTGGCAGACACAGTTTCTACTTACTCACAGTCCTAACAACCTAATTTTAGAAGTGATGAATTCAGTTATCAAATAGAAAGCGAAGTCCATTCATGAGATCCCCTCCCCCCCACACACACACACTGTTCTGTGAAGCCCAAAGTAACCCGCCACCCCACCACCCTCATTCTCTCTTCAGCTATAGCCATACTCCAGGGATTTACTAGAGGAGAAAAACCCTCTCAAAGTTCTTAGCCTGCTCTAGTCCAGTTGACAATATAGCACCAGTTTGTTCTGTCATGTGTGTACAGGAAATGCGATCAGAACCTAACAGCTCACTTAAACAACGTGCGCACCAACCAGCTTCCTGCGTGTTAGCCAGGAGACCATTCATCACGTCAGGCCCCGCTGGGACCACACAGGCCTGTTCACAACTGACTTGCTAATTGCAACTCCAGCTGAATTCTGGAAGCTGAGCCTCACTGTTAAACATGGCCACATGGGTGAGGAGCCCATGGTGGATGATTCCAAAGAGAAGCCAGTTCCTCCACCACCGAAAGGCTCCCCCTGTGCTGGCTGAGTACATGCAGGGAACACTCGCTGGCTGGGTCTCTGAGCCCAGGGAGAGGAACGCACCCTCGTTACTACACATGCGCCCTGAAGAACAACGCAGGGGAGCCGGTGTTTAGAAAGAGGCTACAGAGGGAGAGAGGGGGAAACATCGATTGGTTGCCCCCAACGTACGCACCCCCACCTGACAGCGAAGCGAACTGTCGACCTTTCAGTACATGGTACAACATCCAAACCACTGAACCACACTGGCCGGGGCCAGTCGGAAGTGTTTTTGATTCATCTGCTCATTTATGTGTGTTTTCCCCCCACTCTGGCTATTAATATAAGGAAAAGATTTCTTAAGGTTTTTTTTTTTTTCCAGTTTTGCGACCAATGGCACAGCTTTTACGCTAACGATTTGTCAGGGTTAGAGACACAGTCTTCACAATTACTAGGGGTCAAATCCATGATCTTATCTCAAGCATTCTGAAGAGTTAATCATCCAGAAGCAAAAGTTTAAACTTTCTCGCATGAAGCTGTAGTAGGTTGCTTGGAGTACCCGGTATTCCAGTTGTAAAGTTAGAAACAGAGATGGTATGCCTCCACGTGAAACACACGGGAATTCGATAAAGCACTAACACCTCCACCGAGGCGTGGGAAACGCTTCTCAAGACGACTACAGGCAGCTTCTGAAAGTGCACCTCATACCATCGCATTCCAGCGGCTTTGGAAAATAAGCCACTGTACGTCAGTGAGATAATTGTAAGGAAAACCACTCTACTCTCGGTAGGGCTGGGATTTCGAGAGCTGACACATCTATAATTAACAACTGCACCATCTTCAGTCTCCTTGCCAATCTCTTCAGAAAAGCACAGGAAAAGAAACTGCAGGGTAACACAGACCCAAGGAGCGAATCTCCTAGCCAAGAAAAATCACTCAGAATACGCAACAAGAGGAAGACTTACAAGTTAAGACTGGGGGAATTATTTCACCTACAATCT